TATATATATATATATATATATATATATAAAGAGAGAGAAAGAGAAAAATATTTGTCAACAAAACGTAGAACATTCTGGTAACTGAGACATATAAAAAAATTGATATTAATTGTTTAAACATTGGTAAAAATTTCTAAATACATTTTAGAGCGAATGTCAAATTTTTATGACAATAAAATTGATTGTAATTGTTTTTCAGTATCATCCACATTAGAAATCTGAGAAAAATATTATAGAATGTTATAAGACACTTTTTTACTGCTTTTCAGGGGAGTCCCCATTGGAACTGTTTTTGAGAAAAAAGCTATTTTAAAATTCCATATTTTTACCCAAAATTACCTAAAAACTAGTTTGAAAAATTGTGCATGCCTTATTTAAAGATTTGAGAAACAATTTTGGTAAGGAAAATATCTATATTCAATATTGTATTTGTTTCATTTATTTATAGTCGCAGCGAAATCTGAGGTCATTAGCGACTCAAAATTGGTACATTGATTTAACGATATATCCAAATTAACATAGTTGTTAATTAATAGACGGTACAGGTATGGGTGAAAAACTTAGATTTAACATGTTATGACGACTTAAAAATTGTTCGACCTTAATACATTGCTTGGTCAATTTTGAAAGGTATTCACTTATGTAAGTTTTGTGTAGTTAATAACTAGTTACAGACATTCAGATCGATGACAATTAACACATTTACTCATACTTCAGTAGGTAACGGCATATAATTGTGTACTGCAGTTGCAACTTAAATTGATAGTATGATTTCAACTTAAATTTTGATGAATATATTTATGTCCTTGCAGAGTTTGATCACTATCTTGATAGTCTCTAGATGTAAGGATTAACTCGGGGATCATATTATGACGGTATATTGTCTGGGATTGTTTTATAGGGGGCATTGGTTAATGACGTAGGATATGTTAATATTGTATTTGTAGTGTTATGTTCTTTGGGATGATAAATAATTCATTAAGAAAAGTTAAAGTATAAAACGTTTATTGTATTCACAATACATAATAGGTAAGAACGCGCGACAACTTATTAACGGTCACTCGGGAACACATCGGGGAGAACGTTCGTCCGCTACGATTGACGGCGAGAGACCGGCATGCTCGTTGCAGCAAGATAATGGCAGACTGCGACAGTACGTCGCGTGCTACCAACTGTTGAGCGCCAAAACACCAACAGCAAAAGAGGAATAAATTTAGCGTGCATATACAAAATTTTCTCCCCCTTTTACTGATTGAGTGATTATGTGACTGTGCGCAATTAACTCGGCGAGAATCTTGATTGTGGGACTCTAATGCAAAATGATCTACGTGGGATCTGAGGAGTGTACAATACGCGTGGTGCTGGCAGTCTCGGGGCTAATGGAGTTGCTGGTGTCGATGGCGTCACTTGTGTAGCTGGTATGGCGGGTATGCCTGGTATCGCTCGGGGTTCTATGGTACCTACGTCGTCTTAACGTAAGCCCATTATCAACTTGTACAGGTTCTGCGTCGGGTTCGTTTTGCGGTTTAATATCTGAAAAGAATCTGATCTGGTCGATATGTCTTTTAACCTTGTTTGTCTCCAAACTGTATCGAGTAATGAGATCTCCAAGGCGGTCGACGACAGTGCCTGGAACCCATTTATCCAGGCTAGGATTGCCAGACAAGAAGTA